TATTCACAAAAATATAAAAAATATTCACCCTCATATTGTTCCAAACCTGTAAGGTCTTCAAAGTTCACATTTATTTACAATTGGAAAATTTCTCATTAAAAATTGTCATGATGTGACGTGCAAAGTCTGATAATTCCCAATGCAAATTCACTAGTGAGAAATATATCATTTAATTTAAAAAGTACATACAATTTTATGTTATAATAATAAATATATATAATTTGGTTTAAGTTTTTACATTTTGAGGGGAACATTTTTTTTTTTAATATGGAGCCGGATCGTAAAAATATATAGCCTATGTACAGTATGTATGCACTAAGAAAATATAGAAAATCAAATTATTTTGGAAAGACATGAGTTTGAATACTATCTCTTTAAAAGTACCTCTAAAAGAACAGAAATCCTGCTTGGTGACCAATAACATGGTGTGTGTGTGTGTGTGTGTGTGCGCGCGCGTTTTTGTGACAAATGAGGACATAAATTTGTATAATGACAAGGGTATGACATAGGTATTACAAGGAGAAGGTGACTTTTCAGGACATTACCCCATGTCCCCACTTTTCAAAACGCATATAAATCACACAGAATGGAGTGTATTGAAAATCTGAAACAGCACAAAGTTTCCTGTGAGGGGTAGGTTTAGGGGTAGGGTTGGTGTAGGGCAATAGAAGATACGGTCTGTACAGTAGAAAAACCATTACGCCTATGGGATGTCCCCACTTTTCACAAAAACAAACCTGTGTGTGTGTGTTTGTTTGTTTGTTTGTTTGTGTTTGTGTGTGTGTGTGTGTGTGTACTTGTTTATGCTACAGTGAGGGGACCAAATTTCCCCACAAGGATAGTAAAACCTGAAATTTTTGACATTGTGGGGAACGGCCTGCGGTTTAAAAAATAGTAAATGATGTTTATCTGAAATTGTTATTTTGTGTTAAACAGGTTGTTTTTGAAAGTCGGTGCTTGAAATAAAAGCTTTTTATTTCATTGATTTTTATTGATGACTGCAGTGTTAATATTTTAATTATAGGACTATAATTCATTGTATAGCCTAATAGACCTGTTTTAAAAGACCTTGTTTAAAAACATTTTAATTGAGGAGTAAATAGCCTGATCTTTTGTTATCCTCGCAGCGCGTCAGTTTTGCGGTAATTATTGCGGGGCAAATTAATCGTAATTGTAACAGCTTTTTTATCAGTTCTTTTGTCTTTGGGTCGTTATGTTTCTCACAGATTTCTGCTCGTTCTAAATCAGATACAGATAAAGTAGCACAGTAAAGATTACATTCATATGAATGCATTAGTGAGAGCGATTGCGTGTGTGAATTAATTCTACCTGGCCGCGTCTCCCTACTAATAGTGAAGCTGTGGTACCTGGCAGCGTCTCTCTACTAGTAGTGAAGCTGTGGAATTTAGTTAAGAAATATATGCTTGAACTTTTCAGTTTCTAAGCTATTTTATTGAGAAATCACAGAACAGTGTTGACAAAACATTTCCGCGCTGAATGATTCTGTGCGCGTGATGTACGAGCTACTGTCTGTAGCCTATGTGTGTGCGTTACAGTGCAGCAGCGCATTAGATTAGAATGGCGATTAACGTAACTGTACAATAAGCTGTTTAAAACGTGCATTCTCCCGTTCAGTTTCGAGCATCTAGTAATATAATCACACATGTCTTGTGGAGCGCTTTCAGAGTACGCATTTATTTGTCATTTTAACTGTTTGGAAACTGAGCGTAAATGTGGAAGTCCTTCAAAGATTTCTTATCCTGTTGCGCCCTCTATAGGACCAGCGACTAATCGACGTCAAGCTTAAAGCGTCATGGCAGAGCATTGAAGTCGACTAGTCGACTAGTCGATTAGTCCGTGCAATCCCTAGTCACAATTACTTCTTTACTTTACTTAGTATCTTTCTATTCCGTGACATTCCATGTTATACTTTAAATTTCATTTTTATGATTTTTATTCCACATCACGGAGTATATATATATATATATATACTGTATATATATAAACTTGCTACATGTACTGCGTTGGGCTAACCGAGACTTGTTATAGCACTTGCATTTTATTGCTCTTTTGATTGCTTCTATTGTCCTTCTATTTGTAAGTCGCTTTGGATAAAAGCGTCTGCTAAATGATTAAATGACTAAATGTAAATGTAATGAACTGTCCCCTGTAAGTTCTTTTGATCATCAGCTGGGTCAGTTGAGACGTGGGACTCACTCTTTGCTCTCGTGAGCGTTGGTCTGCGGCACTGGCTCGGTCAGCTTCATCTCAAACTCGTTGCAGCGCAGAGGCACCTGCTGGTAATGTGTGATGAGCGCGAACAGCGTGTCGAACACCAGGTTATCCGTCAGGTAGAACTTGGGGTTGCCGGCCTCCTGCCGAGAGTGAATCCTGCAGTGCTGAACCCGACCGGACCGCCTGTCCAGAGGAAACCCACACCGCTCTTAACTCACAGCCGCTTCACTCTTTCAGTTGGGAGTAGTAGTATATTTTCATTTAATGCCATGTCAGCATCTTAGGCTATTTTTTAATGGCAAAAACAATTCACCAATACAAGTATAACAAATACAATAAAAACCAGCAAACAAACAAACACAAGTTATATTACACAAGATTTTTTACTAGTGCTGTCAAACGATTAATCGCATCTAAAGTTTTTGTTTATAATATATTTGTTTATAACATATTTTCATAATATATGTGTGTGTACTGTGTATATTTATAATATCAATTATATGAATATAAATATATACATGTAAATATTTTCAAAATATATACTGTATGTGTGGGTATTAATATATACATAAATATACACAGTACAAACGTATATTATGTAAACACAAACTTTTTTGGATGCGATTAATTGTTTGACAGTACTGTTTTTTTACATTAACATATGATAAAAATTCTAAAACTTTTTCTGGCAAAATTATACTAAATAACTCTTTGAGTTCACTTCATAAAAGAGTTTTCCACATACATTAAAAGCGGGACAGTTCGATAAAATATGTTTGACAGAAAGGAGAATCATGCAGAACATGCTTTGAGTAGGGTCTTCACCTTTAAGCAAAAATGCATGAGTCAGTCTTGTATGACCCTCTGCGACATCTGGTGAATACCACTTGATCAAATCTTTGTTTGTTTGTTTGTTTGTGTTTAACGCCATTCCAGCTTCTGTGGCTATTTTCATGGCGAGAAATATTATGGCTGAATTTTATGTGACCCTGGACCACAAAACCAGTCAAAAGGGTCAATTTCTAGAAATTGAGATTTATACATAATCTGAAAGCTGAATAAATAAGCTTTCCATTGATGTATGGTTTGTGAGGATAATATTTGGCCGAGATGCAACTCTTTGAAAATCTGGAATCTGAGGGTGCAAAAAAATCAAAATATTGAGAAAATCGCCTATCATGTTTTTATCATTTATTTTTGCTAAAAACTCCAATACTGTATTTGGCTTAACTCTGTTAAAAGAGTTTCTAGTTTTAAGAGAGATTAAAAATCAGTTTGAAAGGTCCGGATTGACGCTCTCAGGTGGAGGAGGGGAGGTTACCAGAAGGAGAGAGTGTAGTCTCCCACGAAGGTCTCGCTCTCCCGCACCAGGAACGAGCCGTCGGGCGCGCCGGTCTCCAGACAGTAGTCCGACAGCAGACGCTCCGCGATCTGACGCCCGTCACGCCCCGCTCCCAGCTTCCCGTGAAACCACTTCTCCGTCACATGCTGGTCCATGCTGTTACTGATCTAGAGGTGCAATCAGTTGGAAATCAGCTTCCAGAAGAGATCAGATGTGCTAAAACATTAGCCACATTTAAAGGCGCCAGACTCAAAACTCATCTGTTTAGCTGTGCGTTTATTGAACGAGCACTGTGCTACGTCCGAACTGATTGCACTGTATTTTATGTATAATCATTTTCTATTTTAACTGTTTTAAATTTTAAATAATTGTAAAAGTTTTTAAATTCCTTGTTTTATTGTTGTGATTATTTTTTTAGGATAATTTTATTTCCTTTTATGTAAAGCACTTTGAATTACCATTGTGTATGAAATGTGCTATATAAATAAACTTGCCTTGCCTAGAGAAGAGGAGCAGCTACAGTCTGAATGCTCAATGACATGCATGCGTTCAAAGAGCTACCACTGCCAGTCAAACGCTTGGGATCAGTAGGATTTAAAGAAGTCTCAAGGCTGCATTTATTTGCTCAAAAATACAGAAAAAAAACAGAAAAATTGTGAAATATTATTGCAATTTAAAATAATGGTTTTCTATTTTAATTAGTGCTGTCAAACGATTAATCGCATCCAAAATAAAAGTTTTTGTTTACATAATATATGTGTGTGTACTGTGTATATTTATTATGCATATATAAATACGCACACACACATACAGTATATATATTGAAAATATTTACATGTATTTACATGCATATATGTATATTCATATAATTTATATTATTTATAAATATATTTAATATATAAATGTAAAATTTTTCTGAAATATATACACATGCATGTGTGTGTATTTATATATACATAATAAATATAAACAGTATACACACATATATTATGTAAACAAAAACTTTTATTTTGGATGCGATTAATCGCGATTAATAGTTTGACAGCACTAATTTTAATATACTTTGAAATACAATTTATTCCTGTGATATAAAGCTGTATTTTCAGCATCATTGCTCCAGTCTTCAGTGTCACTTGATCTTCAGAAATCACTCTAATATGCTGATTTATTATCTATGTTAAAAACAATTTTGTTGATTAATATATTTTTGGGGGATTTGTGATACTTTTTTCAGGATTTTTTTGATGAATGAAAAGTTAAAAATAACAGCATTTATTCAAAATAGAAATCTTTTGTAACAATATAAGTATTTACTGTCACTCTGTATCAATTTAACACATCCTTGCTAAATAAAAGTACTAATCTCTTTTTTAAAAAAAAGAAAGGGACCCCAAACTTTTGAATGGTAGTGTATAATTGTTACAAAAGATTTCTATTTTGAATAAATGCTGTTATTTTTAACTTTTTATTCATCAAAGAATCACACAGCATATTAGAGTGATTTCTGAAGATCATGTGACACTGAAGACTGGAGTAATGATGCTGAAAATTCAGCTTTGATCACAGAAATACATTTTATTTCAAAGTTATTAAAATAGAAAACCGTTATTTTAAATTGCAATAATATTTCACAAAATTACGTTTTGTTTCTGTATTTTTGAGCAAATAAAATAATGCAAATAATGCAGCCTTGATGAGCAGAAGAGACTTTTTTTTAAAAACATTACAAACCTTACTGATCCCTAACTTTATAATGGCAGTGTATACAGTATACACACACACACCTAATTTAATTTAACTGAATCGAAAGTGTCACAGGAAGTTCTTAGGACACTACCGAAACTGGGGGCTTTTTTGTGTTAAATTAAGTTACTATAAACAGCAAACGTACATCTACAAGATGTCTTCTAAAGAGCACTTTAGACCTAAAGTAACCCTTTAGATTAGCAAACACATATTCACTATTAACTAAGCATTTTCCCTCAATAAACTCCTAATTTGCTGCTTATTAATAGTAAGTAAGGTTGTTGTTGTATTAGGATTAAGGGATCTAAAATATGCTCATGCAGAATAAGGTACTATTATGTGCTTTATAAGCAGTGTTCGGAAGGTTACTTTGGAAATGTAATAGGTTACAGATTACAAGTTACCCTACTTAAAATGTAATAAGTAGTGTAACTTTTCAGTTACTTTATTAAAGTAATGTAACTGATTACATTTGATTACTTTTTGATTACTTTTCTAAATTTCTAATGTTTTCAACTGTTAATCATTTTCAAACATGTAAACCAGGCACGGTAAACCTTACAGTAGTACTCAACACTGATTACTGTCACACTTTCGAAATCCTTCATCACTTGAATTAAGATTATAATATTTTAATTTTAAAGGAGACATTGGATGCAAAATATCTTCATTTGCATATAAATGTGTCTTAGCAGTGTGTGGACACAACCACCTTACAATAATCCCCCAAAAACCTAAACAGTCTCAATTATAAAGCCATTTTGATTTTGGAGTGAATAATATGCATGCTAATAAGCATCTAGGTGTACGAACATTTGCGTTTTTAAAAGTCAGTTTTACATTCGTTCTGAATAAACACCTAAAAGACATTTCCTAAATATTCCTTATACACTGAATGCATTAATTTTAGTTTATAGCGAGAGAAAGAAAGAAAGAAAGAAAGAAAGAAAGAAAGTGACTCTAATTTTCAAATAGTTATGCTTTAGTACTTCCAGCTGCTCATTCAAGCAGATGAGGGAGTTACATTTTGCACTGTTACAACAATTAACAACATATTACAATATAAAAACCATAAAGTAAACACTGTCATAAATCATCAACAAGCTCATAAGCAATCACTTGGCATAAATGCACAGTATTCACTGACTGCGAAATGCTCTGAAAGCAAGAGCCTGTAGAACACGAAAGAGAGTGTTTATTTCATTCAATCGTAGCCTTTTGAATGTTGGTTAATTATCACATAATTTTAAATTCCAGTTTGTCTATCCCTAATGATTATTAAGATTTACAACATTTAAGACCTTGAATTTAATAAAACTGCTTTTTTTGCGACTCGTGGGGACCCTGAAGCTAGACTTATTAGGGATGGGAAGATTCCCCGATTCGCTCGGTGCATTGGCATTAAAAGTTAACGATGCCATGCATCGATTTAAAAAAAAAGTGTGCATCGGATACGAGTCGCCATTTGTATCGCGATGCATCGTTTCTAACATATCTGCTTTTTTCTGTGCGCTCAGCCACTGCCGCGCGCAACCGAAGCGCGCACACGCAGAAAGAGAGAGACACCGCGTGAACAGCGAATTGATTCTTCTTTCACATACACACAAAGTTATGTTAAAATACCCGCTTTGGCAAGTATTCTAGTAAACACAGTCGGTTATGTCTTGAGTGAACGTAAACAGCTGAGAAAGAAACGGATGTGTGTCAGTATTCGGTCCGTGCATTTGGTCTTAAAGCGACAGCAGCCAATAAATACCTGCTACTGCTAATCCAATAACACCACAGCTCTAACTAAGATTAATCTGTATTTAACTTGTGCAGTGAGCACTATTGTGTTAAGCTTAATTATTACATTTCTGCACCTAAATTCTGATATTTGTAACTGTGATTTGTTGTTTTCATCTATGCTTGTAATTTGTGTAATTGTTCTTGTTTTATTACTAACTTTATTAGTTAAGCTAGTAGTTTTTGCTGTGGTATAGAAGTACTTAAAGTAAGGTTTTTTTTGTTTGTTTTTTGCTGATCCGAAAAATTATCCAATCCGTGACTCAAAATCCGAATATGATCCGAACCGTGAATTTTGTGATGCGTTGCACCACTATTGAATATGATGCATCACAATACTGAGACCTGAGGAAAAGCCTTTATTAAAGGGATTAAAGTCCTTAATGTCGATCATGGATCAAATCAATCCACCATGGCAAACAGCGAATATATTTGTGCTGTTTAATGCATTTGAGAAGTGTTTTCCTCAGTGCATAACTGGCATGCCACAGGTATATTCTCCATCTGTAAATGTTAGAAAGTCATGCAAATATATCCATTTTGCTGTCAGGAGTAGGCGAGTGAACGAGCGCTGCGAATCGCATTGTGTGGAATCGAATCGAAATCGGATCGCACTGCATCGTAATAGGGGTGAATCGCATCGTATCGCATCGGTAGCTGTATCTTTAATGTATCTTCAGCTATGCATCGAGATGCGTATCTCATCGGCCTCAGTTATGAGATGCACATCCCTAACACTTATGTGAAAACAGCTAAACAACTATTACACTACTGAAAACTGCAGTCAGGTTAGCAGTGCTGCTGTTATTCCGGAGATTGCGTTTTCCTCACCTCTCTGTGCTCCTCCTCATCCTCGTTCCCTTGATTACTTGACGTCTCTTCAGAGTAATAGATCTTATTGCTGGTCAGGACAAAGAAGTGAGGATACCACTCCTGTGAGGACAACAGTGTACATCCACGATGAGCCTCAACAATCTGCCGTCAGATTTAGATGAAGATTTAAACGAAGGCGAGCTCACGTGGTTGATGGGATCCTCCAGGTACAGGATGCCGTTCTTGATGGAGTTGCTGATGTCGTTCTCCGAGTAGGGCGTTGAAGACGAGACCTCCTCGTACGCACTTCCCTCAGCTAATTTCTTGTGCTGAACACATCAATCCAACAGTGAAGGTGCTTAGTTAAGAAAATCTTGACATGAACAGCTACAAAACGGCATTTCCTGCCATGTAGCCAATGGGCTCTCACCTTGATCAGGATCTTCCTCTTGAGCTGATTGGGCGAGGGGAGACCGTCGGCTGAGATGTCCACCGCTTTGGTCAGGAGCATCTCTCCAAACACTTTCTTAAAGTAGGTGGCCATGTTTCTCTGCTGGACAATACTGCAGTGGTCCTCGATGGAGAGGATGATGGGATAGCTGCGTGCAAACACCAAAGTGTTGATGATTGCATAACACACATTCAGAAGATTCCCGTATGAAAACATCACACAAGCACACAGAGAACTGGTGTGTGCAGACGCCACACTCACTCAGACGTAACAAAGGCGTGTTCTTTGATGGTGGAAAGCACATCGTTGAACTTGATCTTGGTGGTGAGGGTGTGACCGTGGTAGATAACAGGCATCCCATCTGGACCGTCCCAGCAGTCCACTGCAAAAAAAGCACACAAACACACGTTACAGCCAGCTGCCAGAGACACAACAACACACTTACAGGACACTGATACTGCCGCGTCAGTCTAGTCTCATAGCTCTAGCTCTAAAAAATAAATAAACAGTTCTAGTCAAATTTCAGTTCCTAAAAAATAAAAAAATAAATATAATTGCTATACATTTCTGCACTTTTTGTTTGCCTGTTTATTGTTACTGTATGTGTGTCACAATTCTCGGGATGCAAGTAGCGAGGAACGAGGAAACACGGAGATAACTTCAATTCACAGTCTTTAATGATCACATGGGGAACGTAGGAGACACAGGAACACATGGAATGACGTTTGAGGACCGACAAACACTAACTGAAAGGTTCGCGACCATCAGGAACAGTCTGGTATGGTCCTCGAGAGTCCTGTCCGCCTGCTCCAGCAGGAGAAGGAGGAATTCGGGGCGAGTGAAGGGATCCATGGGCGACACAACGGAAAGAAAAACACTGGGAGAAAAACGGAAACAAAAACGGAGGGTACAAACGGAGGTAACTGTTTTGGTCGGTCCTTCTGTCACAATTCTCGGGATGCAAGTAGCGAGGAACGAGGAAACACGGAGATAACTTCAATTCACAGTCTTTAATGATCACATGGGGAACGTAGGAGACACAGGAACACATGGAATGACGTTTGAGGACCGACAAACACTAACTGAAAGGACTGGGGCTTTTAAACACTGGGTGATTGGGAAAACACAGGTGCAAGGAATGACTAATTAAAAGGGAACACGGCACACCTGGGGAGGGAAAACACAACACAAAGAGTCCAGGGGCATGACAATGTGTTTGTTACATTTAAAATAATTAAAAAATAATAAACAAAAAACAAAATAAACTAATAACCAAACAAACCAAAAGAAACAAATACATCAAACAAACCTAAAGAACCAAATACACGAAAAAATGAAACAAACAAACCAAAAGAAACAAACAAAAAAATAAACCAAAAGAAAAACGAATGAAACAAACAAATAAACCAAAAGAAACAAACTAATGAACCAAAAGAAACAAACTAATGAAACAAACAAACAAATAAACCAAAAGAAACAAACTAATGAAACAAACAAACAAATAAACCAAAATAAACAAACTAATTAAACAAACAAACAAATAAACCAAAAGAAACAAACTAATGAAACAAACAAACAAATAAACCAAAAGAAACAAACTAATGAAACAAACAAACAAATAAACCAAAAGAAACAAACTAATGAAACAAACAAACAAACCAAAAGAAACAAATACATCAAACAAACCAAACAAACCAAATACACGAAAAATGAAACAAACAAACCAAAAGAAACAAACAAAAAAATAAACCAAAAGAACCAAAAGA